AAAAAAGAAAGAAAAAAAGAAAAAAAAGAAAGAAAACAAAAAAGAAAGAAAGAAAGAAAAAAGAAAGAAAAACAAAAAAGAAAGTAAAAAGAAAGAAAGAAAACAAGAAAGAAAGAAAGTTGTTTTTGTTTAAACAGTTGATTGAAAAATTATATAAATGAATATTCTATCTATTTGTACAGCTACCAGGATGAGTAACTAATCTAACCTAATTTGGGGGGTTTCCTCTAACTTTGTTTAACACCCATGTGATTATGAGCCGATTAGCATGTGATTGTGAAACATTCACACATTTAAATTGAGTATTTGCCTTCCAGGATGAAAGGGCTGAATGTGTGTATTTGGCATCAGAATTTGCACATCAAATATCCCTAAATAACTGCTAAAATAAACTTTGTGCCCTAATGCCACAACATACTGCAATTTCGCACGCAACTGTTCTATGCATTTAAAACACAGCTTATTCACATTAAACATTGTTATCGCTATGGAGAGGGCTAAGGGGGTTCAAAAACTTAATTTCTGACTAGACTAAGTGGTGTGAATGAGCTTTTCACAGTCAGCTGAAGTTCATTAGCAACAATAAGCTTCTTTTGTCACTGCCTGAATACACGTCACATCTGAAGGATAAGATAGAGAAACACTAACATGCAGAATAACTAATTTTTGTGCTAAGAGCTCCAAGTAATTCCTTCCTGGCTATTGTTTAGCAAAATGCTTTTTACCAGGATTAGTCACTTTTACCCCAATGTGACGTCTTCAACATCTTAGAATATACTTTAAACTAGTTATAATAGTTTAAATAACTAATTTCGGATTAGTTTACAGTATTAACAAACTATTAACTAGCATTACTAGCTTAATAAACAACCAATTAGCTTTTCATTAATAGTTAGTAAGGTAGAAATTGGGTTTAGGTTTTGGGTAGGATTAGGGATGGAGAATCAGATCATTAAGATCATACTTTATAACTACTAATGAAGAGTTTTTTTTAACTACCCAGGTTCTGCAGGTTGCAATGTCCTGAATTTTGGTTGCCAATCTTAAGCCAATTGTAATAGATTGGTTTGGTTCAATTTAGAATTTCCCCAATCAATGCATTTTTTATTAGAATATGCAAAAAGGTACATAAATTGGGATCATAGGAATACAAATAAACATCAACAAAAAACAAAAACAAAACAACAAAAAACAAAAACAACAACAATATAGTCAGGTACTGGTAGGTGTGTGTGTGTGTGTGTGTGTGTGTGTGTGTGTGTGTGTGTGTGTGTGTGTGTGTGTGTGTGTGTGTGTGTGTATGTAAGGGTAACTTGGTAGACAGGTCAGAGTACATAAGGAACAATAACAGTCAATAAATGAAGCAAGTATCACATATATAAGTAAAACAGATAGAAAGAAATCAGTCAGTGGTAAGGAGTAACAACAATGCTTAGTAATGTGTGATGGTAATAATGACAGTCAAAAGAAAGAAAGGACAACAGTAATAATAACTGACAATAACAATAAATCACAAGTACAACACCAACTACTACTACAGAAAGTTACTTATATTACAACTACTACTGCTTCTACTACAGCCACGACTCTTACTACTAAAATGTCTACTAATACTGATACTACTGACTACTACTACTGATACTACTGTAGCGTTTGCTACAACTAATACAAAACCATCTACTACTACTACTACCACAATCACCGCTACTACAACATCTACAACAACAACATCTATTACTGATACTACTACACCAACAACGACTACTACTACAACTGCAACAACTACTACTACTACTACTTACCACTACACCAACGACATCAACTACTACAGGAACTACTACTTCAATAATCACAACTACAATCGATACTACTACAATGACTACTACTACAACTACTACTACTACTTACCACTACACCAACGACATCAACTACTACAGGAACTACTACTTCAATAATCACAACTACAATCGATACTACTACAATGACTACTACTACAACTACTACTACTACTTACCACTACACCAACGACATCAACTACTACAGGAACTACTACTTCAATAATCACAACTACAATCGATACTACTACAATGACTACTACTACTACTACTACTACTACTACTACCACTACAACAACTACAGCAACCTTAAAAATGATAATGGTATAAATACTTATAATAATGACAATGAAAAGATAATAGAAGGACCAATCCCCAATCAATGTAGAGCCCAGGGGACCAGAGTGAGTGCTCCGACTTGGCCCCACTGCTGGTCCACTAATGAAGAGTTAATATCTTAATCTAAAGTGTGAAGTCACGCGAAGTGGCTTCCAGGTCCATAGGCTCTCTTAAACTGTACTGACTCATCAAATGGTATTAGGTTTACGGAGTGATGTTATACTTTTTGAAAATTACGATCGCAACATATATACTGTATCCATGCCTAATATCCGATGGCCAGAAAGTGATTAATGTTTTAAGAAACTTCGGTTAAATTTCGGTATTTGTGATGCAGCAGTTGATAGCATGAATTATGACAAACTAATGTGTTATCCTATTTTTTAATAACTACGGTTTACCATAATATCATCATTCTTACCATAATAATTTGCTTTAATTTGCATGATATTATAGTAATCAGCTTAAAGAGAACTTTACTACGTTAATTAGGTTATTTAGGCAAGATAGGTTAATTAGGCAAGCCATTGGACAACATTTAAAAAAATATCAATTTCTAATTATTTCTACATTCTAAATATATTAGCTCTGTGAATTATTGTTTTAAATTGGTACGCTACTAGTTTTGATGCTCTTCACAATGCAGGGCTCAACAATAAGGACTGCCCGGTGGCCCGGGGCCAGCGTGAAAGACACTCGGGACAGTAGACAGGATTGCTACTGGCCCCTATCGGCCAGTAAGGATGAGCACGTTTTTTTTTTTTTTTTTTGTAACCTGGTAACAACCAGTACAGCGAAAAGATGGCAACATGGCGGCAAAATTAAACAATGAGGCTAAAAGAAAACGTCTGTTTCTAAAGTCTTAGAAGCAGACAATTACATGGGTACAAAATTAAGAAACTGAAAAATAAATAAATAAATAAATAAATAAAACAGTTGTCAGTTTGGCAAGCCATTTTTATAAAAATTATTTAGAATTGCATTAAAACACCAGCAAATTTTTCGTACTGCTTTGAGTATTTGCTTCATTTGCATAAAATCTTGAATTTTATTTATTAAAATATTTAAAATGTTTAAATTCTAGATTCACAGGCATAATTTTGCCACTATTTAAAATATGTCGCGAAGAAATAGCTATTAACTTTTTAGTTTTTTTGGTGGGGCCAGTGAAAATTTTGGCAGGGCAAGTAAAAATCTCAACCAATGGCCCGATCGGACCCGTATAAAAAAAATCCTTAGCGTTGAACCCTGCAATGGTTTATTTACTTATTTTATATATATATATATATATATATATATATATATATATATATATATATATATATATATATATATATATATATATATATATATAAATTCTTTTACAAACCAACTAAGATGTTACTGACATATGGTGGCAGGTACTGGAGTTTTTAGCCCAGGTACAACTGAATCTGAAAATAGTTGTGGTGCATGATGGGACATGTAGTTTTTAACCTCGCCACACCATTTCAGTCTCTTTTTATGTGGTATTTGGCAACAAATTTAAGTGATTTACTATTAAAAAAATAAGATTTTTGTTATATTATGGATAACTGATTGCAGTCTACAAAGAGCTGACCCCTATATGTACCACAGCAAATTAATTATAAAAATTATTCAACAGAATAAATCAGTCGCGTTCCAAGACAAAAAAAAAACTTTTAAATTCCTTTACTCCTGATTACAGTAACCTATAAAAGCTTTTTAGGAGTGATCCGGAAAGCTCTGAGGTTCTTAAACTTATTAAACTCGTTTGTTTGCAACTTATTTTATGCAAATTGCAATACACTTTATGTAATTAGCTTGTATATAAATATGACCAGCAACTGTCATTTATAAGTTGATTGTGTCATTGACAGTGCTTAATGAGTTCTTTCCTCATTAAAAGAGTGAGTTCTCATTGTATTTTTTGTTATATTTGTATTTACATCTTTGATTCAAATCAAAGTTTGCAATGATGTTATTCTCCTCATAGCTGGTTGGTTCAGTTAGTGGCTCACAGCTCATTAATGAAGACTTTTTGTAGGAAATTAATAATGAATGGGGAAATACATGTATATCCAAAGCAAACGGAGATAAGCAAGTTGTCAGATGACCAATAGAGGGCGCTAATTTTCATGTTTTATAACTAGGTATCATGTTTTATAACATTACTCAAAAATTGATTTTTGCCACTTGTTCAAACTAATTTTGGAAAATGAGCTGAATCAATGCAATTCTTCAGTTTGTTTAGTACAACTAAATGGTGTTGTGTTCAATACACTTAAAGTGAAATAACAAACAAACAATGAAGTTAACTTAATTTGTGTTGGGACAGCATGAAAGAATTGTGTGGAACCCAACATTTTTTAAAGCGCACATTTAAACAACTGTCACTGGAATATAGGTTTTATTTCAACAAGAGTTATTACACTACAACAATTTAAAGAATACATTAAATAACCTTTTCCTAATCAAAGCTAATCTCAGAATTGTGAGAATATTTTAAAGATAATAAAAATCAAATTAATATTTTCTATAAATCTCTTTCCCTGAATGTTTACAAACCCATATTTCTCCTTTCAATATGCAAAGTTTTCCTTGCTCTGATTTAGAAATAGGCTACAATGATCTAAACATGCACCACACGTAATAGCTTGAATAAAAATCCACCTTGATGTCTTAAAGAGAAATTAATTCATTATTATTTAAATTAGTATAATATTAAATAAAATTAATGAAACTGTAATGAACATGTTTGAAATATCAGAATAGGATTTAGCAATAATAATAATAATAATAAAAGACAAGAAAAAATAAACATTTAAAGATGTGTTTTATTACAGATACATATCAAATATAGTTTTGTATTTACAAAGGATATACATGGATAAAACATATCACTTAAATTTTAAGAATATCAAGAATAACTTTTGTTTTATTGCTTTCACATAACACAGGAAGCCATAAATCAGTTCACTGTACACAATACAGTATCCGCCCTCAGTTTTTGGTGTGATGGAGATCTTTCCGTCATCTCCAGTAAGTCTGAGGAACGAGATGATAGCCAAAGTTTTTTCCGTAAACCTGAAATAAAGCAGAGAGAGAGAAGAGGTTGACTTTGCTAGTTTTGGTCATTTTTATCACCTATTTGCATCATGTAATTGGTGACAATGCTAAAAAATGGGAACATTTTCAAATTAATCTTTTCAAAACTTTTATTAACTGTTCAGTGTGTAGACAGATGTCAATAATGGGATTATCATGTTACTGAATGAAATCTGCATTATGACTAATCTAAACGTGACTTAATTTGGTTACATTTTTAAAATAGTGACAAATATACTGAAGATACAAAAAATGATGAACTTTGGCAATGATCTACACCAGGGGGGTCAAACTCAATTCCTGGAGGGCCGAAGCCCTGCACAGTTTAGTTTCAACCCTGCTCCAACACACTTACCTGTAGGTTTCAAACAAGCCTTAAAGACTCAATTAGTTTGATCAGGTGTGTTTAATTAGGGTTGGAACTAAACTGTGCAGAGCTGCGGCCCTTTTGGAACTGAGTTTGACACCTGTGATCTACACCATGGTGTTTTGCGACACCTAGAGGTTATTTTAGGATACTGCAAGAAGTCTGGAAATGATTGATTTTGCCCAAACAAATTAATTGCACTTAAACTACTGTTTAATTGAACAAATTAACGTTTGGAAAATGTTCAACTACATAGTATATTCACCTCCCTTTATTTAAAATGTGAAAATATTAAAACGCAGTGTACAGATATATGACTCTTTACATAATGTTGATCGCAATACAAGTATCATTACAATGTATATAAATTAATTAGTATGGTGCTGTTCAAATGTTTTATAACAATATGCATTATAAGCAATATATTATATTATTTACAATATTAAATCATGATGAATTTAACCTAACATTTTATTGACCATCCTACAATTAAAATTTGATTATATATACACACACACACACACACACACACACACACACACACACACACACACACACATACACACACACACACACACACAGTTGAAGTCACACGGTTGAAATTATTAGCCCCCCTGAACTATAAGCCCGCCTGTTTATTTTACAGTTTATTTTCAATTTCTGTTTAACGGAGAGAGGTTTTAATCAACACATTTCTAAGCATAAAGGTTTTAATAACTCATTTCTAATAACTGATTTATTTTATCTTTGCCATGACAGTAAATGATATTTGACAAGATATTTTTTAAGATACTTCTATACATCTTAAAATTTTATTTAAAGGCTTAACTAGATTAATTAGGTTAACTAGACAGGTTAGGGTAATTAGGCAAGTTATTGTAAAACAAAGACTTGTTCTGTAGACTATCGAGAAAAAATATAGCTTAAAGGGGTTAATATTTTTATCATATTTTTAGTGCATATTTTAATCTGCAATGAAAGTATCACTACATTGCTCATAGATTGGGATAAAGGCTTAATATATAATATTATTAAATAGAACAATATATACTTTTTTATTCTAATGATGTTTATTTAAATATTATTTAATGTTTTTAATTATTATTCTAAATATCAATTAGTGACAAAGGCTGCTTAAAATTACCTTTTCATTCACAGAAATAAAATACTTTTTTTTACATAAAAAAATTATCTAATTTTGTTACAATAATTAATATGAAATAAAGGCTCTCTTGATGAAATTTTTTTACTTAATATATATTATTAATATAACCCAAACTTAACATTTTGACAAATTGTTTCAATCTTTTTTTGACATTTGACACGCATGCATCTACAACAATTTTACATAACTCTATCACATTAGGTAGTGATTAAATAAATGCTGTCTTGGTGAGTTTCATTTTTAAAAGAATTTAACAAATTATTAATTTTACAAGAGTTGCCAGACAAATAAAATATTTAATACACTAATATATAATTTTATATCTATTTTAATATAACATAAACATAACATTGACACATCTTTTTTAATTTTATATAATCTTTTTTTTTTTTTACATTTCTCGCACACATATGTAATTTTATATAACTATTACATTAAGTAATTATGAAATAAATGCAGTCTTGGTGTGTGTGTGTGGTTTTTTTTCAGAAATATTTACAAATTAATTTTACAAAAGTGGCCAGACAAATCAATTATTAATTACACTAATATAACATTTAATATTCTTTTCTATAACATAAACATGCCATTTTATTACATTTTGCCATCTTTTTTTGACATTGACATTAATAATGAAATTCTAAATTCTAACACAAAACACCGAATTACAAAATTCAACAATAAAAACATCACTATAATAACTTAACATACCTGGTACGGTGTCTGTGTCATCTGCCCACACTGTTGACTCTGGATGAAGCCGTCAATACTGACCAAGCCGTTTTGCTCCGTTGAATGCTGCTGTGTCAAACCTCCATACCGCTCCCTGTATTGTCCTCCATAACCAGAGCAGTCCTCATACTGTCCATCACAGAGAGCATAACCCTGCTCCGTCCCAACAAAACCTCCACTCACAGACGAACACTCAAAACTCGACAAAGAGCATCCGCTGGAGTTTTCTTGTCTCCTGTAGCTCAGCTCTTCTTCACTGAGCCCAAGCTGAGAAGACAAGAAGGAGATATATTGTATGGTCAGCCTCAGAGTCTCGATTTTGGTCAGGGTTTGTCCTACCGGAGCTACTGAAGCAGGTAAGAAGCTCCTGAGATGATGAAGAGCTTTGGTCAGATCCCTCATCCTCAGCTTTTCCTTCTCACTAGCGTTCTGCCGCTGCTCGCTCGGGTTCTTCAGCCTCAATCTCCGCTTTTTCTTCATGATATTAGAAGATTTGACTAATTTGGAGCACGGAGGTTTGGTTTGATGGGGCGGCGAGAAGCTCTGATCCGGTGAAGTTGTCTCTGGAGAGGAAATGCTGGAAAACTCGGACTCGGAGCTGGAACTGCTCCATTGGTTCTTGCTTGAGGTTTGCATGTCGTGTCTGTGCTGGTGAAAGGAGGATGGAGGTTTATATGTTGGATTTCGGAGGTGCGAGGTGACACCTCTGCAGGCTCACGGTAGCCATTGCTGTCTCTGAGAGCTTAGGATCTGGCCTGGATCTGTCTGGGAAACGCTGGGAGAGGCTGCAGGAGTACGAGGTGTGAATTTTGACTCCTCGTCAAAACAACAAACCAGAGCAGAGGTTCTCCTGGAGGTTGTGCAACTGAGCAAACAACGTGTGCTTTTTGTGTTTGTTGTGTTTTATTATGTCTGTGAAAATTCTGCTTTTGATAATTAGATTTTTTTAAATGGTGGTAAAAAGTACTACAAGTTAGTGTAAAATAAAGTAATCTGCAGGAACCAATAAGACTTTTTTTTAATGCAATTAATTATGTTTTTATTAATCACGTACACATTAAATCGGTCTGAAGCAACATTTATACAATAGTATTAAATACTTGAAATATTATAAATGATGAAAAAAAATTAAATAACTAAAAAAAATTATTATTATTATTAATATATTATTATTGAAGATTTATTTTATTGAATTACTTAATAAATAATTTAATTAAAAATCTATTATAATGTTATATATGGAATAACGAATGTGCTTATTTAAACTTTTATTCATAGTTTTTATCATTTCATTGCTCTAGCTCAGGGCTATTCAATTGACCCCTGAGATTTGTTACCACCCTCCAAATACAGTGACCAAGACATCAAAAATAAATTCAGTTCAGATGAAAAACGTCCCTGTTAGCGACGTGCATCTGTTCAATTCAGCATGAGCTGCAGAGGCTGCGCAGAGTGCGAGTCACCATAAGCAAGTGGCGCGGGCAGCCGAAAACACTTGGATATGTTTGTAGAAAAGGCCTTTGTACGATGCATTGATATCTTCAATAGAGATGCAACAATTAGCTGATTTCACTATTAACTGCGTTTTAATTCGTTGAAGTTAATTAATCATAAAGGCTTCTCTATGCCGCATTTCTGTTTCATGGAACAAAACAAAACTGCTGCAAATAAACAAAGTTATGCATATTGCCAACTGTGCTCTAGTTTAAAGTTCCAAGTATGTACACCGAGGCTGATACGCATGCACACCGGATTAACTATAGCAGCGGCCGTTCCCATATCAGGTCTTTTCCGATTGCAAGTTTGTTATTTCTAATGTAAGAATATATGACAATATGCGTGCACGAGCAGAGCAACACGATTGCTTCTTTCCTAACCCAAGCTCATTCTGAAAACGTAGCCCCGCGGATGTCTCTGGAGATTGTGATTTACGTGGCCATAGGTATATATGGCTGCATTTTGTTTTTTCAAGTGAACACTACAGGGCGTTGTGACACCGCTCCTATTCGTGCTTGCCGGGTGACGGCTCACCTTCTCCGTGTGGAGAGCTTTCCCCTCGTAACCAGTTTGTACGGTTAGCTCGTCGTGTTACGTCAGCGGAGTGGAGGCCTGGAGGAGAAGCTGGCTACGTCGATGACCGGGATCCAGTCCGGGGAAGAGTGGTTCCAGAAATCAGGTAAGACAAAAAACAGAATCCAAAAAATAAAGCGAATGAGTTTGTAATCCAAAAATGTGATCAAAATCAGACTAGGGCTTTTCTTTTTCTGAACGGCTTTTGTAAATCATTGCTTGGGTTGAGGGAAGGAGGAGGAGGAGGGTGGCTGGGTCGGCCAATTTCCCGGCCGCCAAGTCAATCGTTCAGTCACTCAGTCAGTCGGACAGTCAGTCGCTGTCAGTCACTCGACAGCGGCCCCCGGTGGCTTTTTACCCGAGAACAACACGGGTGCGAACGGCGCACGCTCACGAGAGGCGTTCGAGACACGAAAAAGTGTGCACAGCGGCCTCTCGTGGACTAGCGAAAACAAAAACTGCACCTCCCGGGACGTATTTCGCGATCTCCAGAAACGTCTGTGTGGCTACGTTTTCAGAATGAGCCTGGGTTTTTCTTTCCGGGGCGGGCGCATACAGTAGAAAACATCTCACGGAGAGAGTTGTGTGTGCCTTTCAGAGCAATGTAAACAAAAGATATGTTAGACAAATTATTATTAAAATGATTATGTATGCATGAACGCAGATGGCAACAACAGTTCATCTAAATAGCTACTTACCTAATATTGAATTTACATTAGACGTGATAACCTTGAAACGATTATCATTCTTCAGACTATATAATCGTACAACCAAAATCTATAATTGTTGCATCCCTAATTGTTATGCAGTTCAAACATATGAATGAGTCTGAATGTAGAAGAAGCCTACTTCAGCAATGCACTGCTTTTGTTGTGCTCTAAAATACAACATTTGAATGTTTGCAAAAAAAGGCTATTGTATAATGCAGTAATATTTTGTAGATTCAAAATACAATATATTAACATTTTGATGTAGAAAAAGCCAACATGGGTGTCTTATGGAAAAATACAACATATGGGCTCTTATATGCAGTTGTGTTATCATTCATATAGTAAGTCAAGTCTCTCCAGCCCTTCGTTTGAAATGCTTTTTATGAACCGGCCCCCATGACAAACTAATTAAATAGCCCTGCTCTAGCTTACATCTTTTATTTATTTATATCTTTATTTTTATGATCCAGAGCTTTTATTTATTTATTTTTATAACTTTTTGTGTATTTAGTGAAATATACGGGACATTCTACCAGAAATGTACATTTTTCCCTTATAAAAGTGTGACAGGGTCTGACTTAAGCTTGTCTTGCTCAAAAAAATCAAGCAAAACAAGCATAAAATCATACAATTCAATGATAGAACACTTCCTTGATCACTGTCAGTTTCTCTATCATATGAAATCGCTTCTGAGTCATAACCTTAAACGTGTATCGCATGCGTTTTATGTTCAATTTAATGCAAACATGACAGGACTGAGGGAAACATGAGAACAATTGAAACATAGCATTTATTTGTATAATTAATTTTTATTTTTATGTTTTTAATCAATTGATATGAATGATAATTGATAACAACTTATGCTTGCTTTAAGTTTAAATACAATTAATGATGTTTTTATTCACCAAAGACACATTAAATTGGTCTGAAGAAACATTTATATAACATTATTAAATACTTCAAGAGTATAAATTATATTAAATATATATATATATATATATATATATATATATATATATATATATATATATATATATATATATATATATATTGTTTATTATTATTGAAGATTTATTTTATTGAATTATTTAATAAATCATTTAATTAAAAATCTATTATAATATTATATATGAAATAACCAATGAGCTTATTTAAACTTTTATTCACAGTTTTTATCCTTTATATTGCTCTAGATTACACATTTTACATATGTATATCTTTATGTTTATGATCCAGAGCTTTTATTTATTTTTTGTTTATATGTAGTTATTTATGCATTTATATTACAGTTTATATTGTGCACTGGTACATTAATTTAATTTCGCATTGCATCTTTTTGAATGGCAATAAAAGCAATGTTGTTAATTTTGACCAGCTTAATCCATTCTTGGTCAATAAAAGTGCACCCGATTCGAATGTTATCACTCGATTGAATAGGCGTTACCAGTGGCTATAGATATGGGTCAATAGGGGCCTTCTGCATCTACTGGTAGGCTCCGAAGGCTGTTATCATCCATTCACATGGTTAATCAGCTATACTAATAAAGAAAAAGAATCAATAATACTAGTTTTTGCTGCTGTGTGGATTAATACTGAATGTGTGTCATAGTTAGGAATGGAGCAATATGTGTGTGTTTGACTGCATTGCTTTTGGTGGTAAGGTGTCTGAATAACACTGTTAAGTAAGTTTTACTATGAAGTGTGTTTCGGGTGTCTGCTGCAATCGGATCCTATACTAATGCTGGGGACCTTGGGGCTTGACAAACCGCGCTGGGCATTTTACTGTCTCGCGCGGTACGCTAACGACCAATCACAACAGGCTGTCATTGGTCTAATCAGCGCAGATTAGCTTTGCGCTAAGGAGGGGTTTGGGAACGAATGAATCGCTGAACGATTCATATGAGAGTCGCTGGGATAATTAGGTAAAAATAAATTCATAATATAAGACCATGAAAGTGTTTTTTGACCTTGCATGCATATCAGTATGTTGTTGGAGATCCATATTACCGAAATATGACCCTATTTCATGTATAATATGGGCTCTTTAATAAATCATATAAATAATTCTTGTTAACTTCTAGCCACAGCCATATATGATCTTTGGCTTATTAACCATGTGGATGGATGATGTGGGTGGACAGCCTTCTGAGCCTACTAGTAGGCTATATAGTTTCACTCCGAAAGTATGTATAGTTTCACTCATTAAAAAAAATATATATTATTTTATTACGTTAAACTTTTTAATTGTTAAAAATAAAATCAAGAAAAATATGTGGTTTCTACAAAAATACTAGCTCAACGTTGACATATTATAATATTAAATGTTTCTTGAGCAACAAATCAGCATATTACAATGATTTAGCGAAAAAAATGGATTGGGAAATGCATCTGGGAAAATCTTTATTTTTACTGTATTTATTGATCTAATAAATATGTAAGTCATAGAAACTCCATTCAACAACATTAAAAATCTTACAATCCTCACATTTTGAACAGTGGTGTAGGCTAAATCACATAGTTTAATGATGCTTAATATCTTTCAGGTTGTTTTCTTCTGTTTTAGATTAAAACAGCAAGTCCATTTTCAATGCTTTACAGACGTCAGCCCGATATCTCAAAACTACTGCTGATTGAGTGTATTGGGTTGTATTTCAAAGAGCTAACCAGCGTAATTGACCTTAATGATGTTTAATGGTGCTTAATAAACTCCATTAGCACATTGCACTTGAGGTGTGACATTCACACAAACTGGTGAGCAGATTTACAGTTTAGTTCTCGAGCTAGTCATTTACTCTTTGAAGTAAATAGGTCTCAATCAGGCATCTAAAGTGTTAGAGTTCGTTTTTTAAAAGCGATTTGTAAGATCG